TGGCAGTGATGAAACAAAATTTTCCATTTGAATTCATTTGATAAATGAAGAATAACTAATGAAAGAAGCGGCACCGGTTCGCTTTTGGTCAATGTGGGATGGAATTTATTTCACGCTGAACCCATGGAATAAATCTCAACCTTCTCATTCAGGCAAGAATTACGGTCGTAATTTCAGTTTTTTTTCTGGGGTGACAAGATCTACCGAGGAGTCTGGGAAATATAGAATGGAACACCCCCGCAGAGAGTTTAGGGAAGCATTACCCATTTTTTTTACTTTTTTGTTTATGATATCTATTACTTCATTAAGAATTAAAATACATCCACTAAATGATATAACAGAAAATAATAACATGAAAACACTTGTTGAGAAACTACATACTGGTAGCGCTCCAAAATATGTATTTATAATAGGAAATCTCGAGGCCATCTTTTTTTCAGACGCCTCGGAAAGGAACCAATCAGGGATCGAAGAGGAAGCAAGGTTAGAAACGAGAGGGTTCGGATTGTTCTGAAGTTTATTATGGTAGGATAGGTATCTGGATTGGGCCAAATCGGAAATATAAGGAAAGTTAAGGTCATTATGAATGATTTAATTAGTGACAAAGTAATAAGGAGCATTAAGGATTACACGAAGGATTTCGGATTGTAAGGATCGGATTCATGAGGAATTCAATGGCTTTGTGGAGCCTAAAATCTAAACCCTGTAAATCTAAATAGGTCTTATTGTAGTCGTGTATATGAGTTTTTTGTAATTAGCTGAAAGTTTAGAATACTTACCTAGTAAGTGCTGGAGTAGTCGGAAAAATCGAGCGGTTTCTTGTCGCTTCAGTTTGGTATGAGGATTCCGAGTTAGACGTTTGTCCAAGGCATCGGATTTGTTCAACAGGGATAAATGGGGTATTATTAAAGGATACTGTAGGATAGGAAGTCATGGGTTTACGACAAAGGGTAAAGGTGATTTGATGGGATTTATTTTAATCCGCCAGTTTTGACACCATTCTTCAATATTTGTGATTTGTGATTGAAGAGTTCAGGATGCAATTGTTGGGTCATTATTAACTGATAGAACAGACGTGTCATCGGCATATCAACGCTTTTAAAAAATAGCACTGAATTTCCCAATTGTAACTATTTTACTTCAAAATTCCTTGCCATTTGAGAATTACGCCAATGGCAAAAATAGGTTGATAATCATCTTGTAAATCATCAGTGGACAGACCATGGTGACCAGCAAGGGGCGGAATCAGAACATCTTAGAGGTCACATTTTTGCGGCAAATTTTTTTTTTTTTTTAATTTCTTTATTGAGTATTATAACAATCTGTCTGTTGGACATTGGTTATAGTGAGGTAGGATAACATTCACACTATATGTACAAAAAAATAAAACAATTACAACAAAATAATAATCAAAATTATATACAATAGACAATAAAATAAAATAACCTAAAAAATAAGAAAATTAAAACTAAGAAAAAAAAACACATGCATACCTATATACAATCAGGCGAGGGAACTCCAGGAGAACCCTGCGCTACTCTCCCAACCGCGTCACTGGTACTAAAGCCAGCGGAGATTGGTCGAGAGCACTAAATGTTTTTTTAGAGCAATTTTTGCTGGCTTATTAAGTTTTGAAGCGTTTTAATTCGGACAAACTTTTAACCACGGAATAGGGAAAGACATATAAAACGTAATTATAATTGTAAATAAACTACAATTGTCATTATTATAATATTACTCTTTTTATGAAGAGAACAATACAGTTTTCAGGAGAAGGCGGAGCACATAGGCAACTCTCACAAAAAAACTTTCATCATGTCAAAAATCACATTCTTTAAAGTTAAAAGAAGCAAATGTAATATCAAAGGATATGACGTTTTTTTATTGCTCATATAAATATAAACTTAACTATTTAATTGGGAATAAGGTCACTGAATTTAATAAACTATTGAATGTTCATTTCTTCTGTTTATTGACGTTTCGATCCCGGTATTTTCTTTTTATTAGTCAACCATGGGATTCTCTTCAAAGCTAGAATTTTAAAAAATAGAGCTTCGATCAGGCCAGGGACACACCGACAGTCTCAGCACCGTCCACTAGCACATATATTAAGCTACTTATATATATACATACATATATATATATATATATATATATATGTGTGTGTGTGTGTATTCTTATCCTATTATCCGATACCATGTTGTGAAAGAAATATTAATAGTTCATCGTAAATATAGTATAAAACATTTGCTGTGTTAAAATCATTAGAATAAGTAAAAAAAAAAAAGTATATTTATTTTCCCCACCTTAAGTCTTTGAGATAAAGGGTTTACGAGGATAAATGTTCTATTTAAAACTAGTGGGTTTTCTTATCTTGCGTCGTAATTTTCTTAAGCTACGCTATCCGATAAGTTCATGTCGTCTTTCTCTTAAGTTAAACTGTTATCAATAATTTTATTATGTTTATTAATAATACTTTGTCACCTAGAATAGCAATTTTATAAGTCGTCCCTGCTCTACAAGATCCATTATGTTTACTGCCATATTAATGAGAAATGTTATTGAATACGTTTTCTTGATGGCATTTAATATTTTATCAACAATCATGTGAACAACAAGAAATTTTTAAAAATTCATTTTGTAAAACAAAATAAAAGTAGCTATCAAAAAATAACCATTAAAAGGTGGGAAATATGATGAAGCTAGATTAAAATATTAATGTGCAGTAAAATAAAAGAAAATGAAATCTCTCAATTTGTGTTAAGTACATAGTGACTTGCCGGTAGAAGAAGAAATGATTGATCTATTTTTTTAAAAGTTAATTATTAATAAATCTAAAATTTTGCAACTATCATATCATATGAAAAAAAAAATACAAGGATACATATATCTTCGTCATTGAGCTATTTATTGGAAAACGAAGAAAAGGAATTTAATTGTTTCATTCAAGGAAATATATTATATTGTAAAATATTTACATCCTCCACCACCACATTTATTAATCTTTTCTTTCGCTTATTCATTTCTGTACAGTGGTTATTTTAATCATATTAGCTATGGTCAAATGCTCCCAATTAACATTTTTTTTCTGTTTTTGAATAATACTTTTTGGACTGATAAGTATGCTGTATGGTTTAGCAACTCAACACAGCCATGCAATATTATTGTAGTTCTCCCATTCAAATTGGTCAAATTAAATAAGTTTTACTTGTCCCCGAATACGACTTTCCATTGAGAAAATTGTTTTCAAGTTTGTGTGGACTTTTGAAAATATAATTTTAATATATTTAGCAATGTAGACAAATAATTTTAAAACAAGCATCAACGATCTTTCTGTAGATTTATAGCTTTCGAGCAAATCAAGAGAGTTTCTATATCAAAAAACAAAACATGAGAGAATTTCCATAAGACAATGTAGTTTAAATGTTTCAAGAAACATTTCCGCTTTCAGATGTGCGAACATAATGTTTTTGACTCGCCAATAGTTTGTAAATGGCTCGTTCGATTTGATCCAAAGTAAGATAAATAGTGTAAAAATTACCTAATATAAATTTTATTAAAATCTATTAAACAATCAAAATTAATATAAATTATTGTTAAAAATATAATGGCTATGAAAATGTACAAGGCGTTGAACATATGGAAAGATTAAATTTCCATATTTTTATGAGATTGGTTTTATAAGATTTTAGACTTTACTTAGAAAATTTAATTTAAATTGTGTTGTGTTGTCTATTTCTTGATTGTTTCTGTTTAATTTCAACCAGGTTATTGTATTACGAAGTCGCTCCTAAACCTTAAAGAGTCAGATTTTTGGTTTATTATTTTTAAAAATGAACCATTGTAATCGAACAAACAATTCAAAAACTTAATCCCCTCTCAAAATGTGCGGTTCTACGTTTCAGCATACATAAATTCAAAAAAAGAATAAAAAAATTCGTGTCTGTCCGTCGTCCGCGCATTTTCTCCTAACGACTACTGGATCGATTTTTTTTTCAAATTTGGATTTAAAACCAGAGGTCACCCGAGAATGATCCTGCTTCATCGACATTACTATCAAAATGACGGCCGAAAAACCTGTGTCGCTATAGAATGTAGCGCCTAAACGAATGAACCGATTTCAATGAAACTTTGCTAAAGTCTTATTCTTTATGCCCATTAAATCTATATAACATACTTCAAGTAAAATTAGATTCCGAATAACTCAAAAAGTATACACTTTTTTGTTGATATTGTGATAAGATGTTTCAAAGGTATTTAAATTTCTTATAAAACCAAGATAGTTTCATCGAAATCAGAGCATTAATAGTGAATATATCGTGGTTTTTTAAATATTGTTGGTTAATTATTTTCAATAACGAACCATTGTAATCGAAAAAAAATCAAAATCTTAACCCCTTATCAAAATTTGAGGTTTTTATGTTTCAGGATAGAATTCGAAAAACGAACAAAAATTTGTTTGTCCGTCCTCCGTCTGCGCATTTTCTCCGAAATTACTAAACTGATTTTTTAATTAGTTATTGTTGAAGAGTGAGACATAGATGTCAATAAATCACGATATTTATTACTATATTTACTTTGGAAGAAAAAGAAATAATCTATCTTTATGAAGTGGTGTTTAAGTAATTCTTGACGTCCTATTAAAAATATCATTATACGAACAATGATACTTTTAGAGATAATTTTTTTTATGAGACATGGTTATATTTTAATGTTTTGAGGGTGCTTCAGGCACATAATCTCCCCTCCCTCCCCCTGTAGATTCACCCATGGTTTTGATTAGACCGAACAAACGAATAAACGATTTTTTCCCATACATTTTACAATTTAAAACATACAGATTAAGTACACTGCGTTCATGCATATGATACTGGGCAATTTTTAAGATTGTGATTTTTTTTTTTTGTTAGCACAAAGAATCAAATTCGTGGATTTCTTTTGCGTTTCCGTTTTCGCTGTTGATCAAAACGGAATATCAAATACGCGAAAGTTGTGGGATTATGCGATTATCTTTCCTCGAAGATTTTATTCACAAACGAAAAATTTTTGACCTTGAGGTATAGTTAAGTGTGGAACCAGTGAAAGTGGTGAGGAAGCTATAGCAGCCTCACTTAGTAGACTTTTTTTTAGGCTGTGGGCTACATCAGATTAGTATAAGAAAAAAGTATTGAGTTTTATAGACACAGCTACTCAAGGTTGGTATGGTCTTTATTTCTATTTAGTTATTCAAAGAACTCGTATTCTAAACACCTCAATATTCTGGCTATTTATTTGAAACAAGATTAAATTGTCTTGAGAGCAAAACTTTAAAGTTGGAATGAGTTAAGATACAAAACTGGTGAGTGAATACTAGATGTGTTGACCTTAGAGGAACACTGCTGACAAAATATAGCTCAACTGTAAGTGGAATGACATGGATGTTTACCCATCACCAACAGCTCCGACGGTTTCCCATCAACGGCAAACACCGCTCTAAATCCGTTGTTCACAAATACAGATGCTAGGGAAAACTTTGATCTTGGCTAATTGCTTAGCTCCGCTCTTTGCCATGGATCTCATCTCCTAGTCCTCGGTTGGATAACTACTCCGCTTTATTATTATTTATACAAGTGCTATAGAGTTATTTTCCTTTTCGCTTGTTGAATCGTTCGAATATGTAATCAGCTACATAACGATACAATTACCTTCGAATTTCAAAAAAGCTTAGCACTAACTCTTCGCGTCCTTTCCGCCATGTTTAACAATAATTGTGTAATCGGTTGGAGTTCCTGTTATTTTCGACTTGTCATCATCAACAATGAGGAAACTGCAATTATTCGAACGATCCTAACATGTATAAATATCCGACACATTGAAGAAGTCAATAGTAACACAAGTACCTCTTTTAGGTCGAATAGCATGAGATCAACAATGGTACCAGCATATCTGTTTTTTGCAGTTCTAATCATTGCCGTGGAAATGGTTTGTATTGTACACAATTGAGTTGGAACAATAAGTTTTTTAACAAAACCGCTTGTCTATTTCTTCAGAATCCAATAAAGTCATTACGAACATAAGTTAAAACTTTTCTTATCATTATGTATATTGTAAATTTAAGAAATCCGTTTTAGTTAATGTCCTTCCGGCTTTATCTTCATTTAAAAGATATATCCTTCGGTTCATCAGTGGCTTATTTCACTGCACATTGCAAAGTTTTCACCTTTAGATTATCTATACCATAAAAATATTAAAATGAAAATATATTGTGCTTACGTTATATTACATATTCAACCATCTTTTCTCCTCAATGATCTGTTAGAAATGTATTAAATAAAGTAATTACCATGGATTTGTTCAGTATGGATTTAAGTAAATCCACAATTTTATTTTCTCAGTATTTTTCTGCACTAAAATCCTAGAAGAAGATGTATATATCCATATGAAATAAATTCCTATACATCTTCCTATATTTATAAATTAACGCTAATAATAATTAATGCATCCTTCCATAGTTTTTTTTGTACAAATTAATTAATTAACTCTATACCATTACTAGAACATGGATGGATTACTAAATGGATGCTACTTTGGAGAATAAACAACCATTCCTGTAATAGAAATATATAAACATGTAAACATTGCAATTTAAAATTTTACATTTATAGTAGTCTAAATGAACAATTTTCGTAAAATGACTTTTTTTTCATTACAACTTTGTAATGTTCATAAATAATTGTTTTGTTTTTTTCTTAATTTGGGCCTAAACAATTTTTTTTTTGGTGATCGCTTTAAAGATCCTACTAACGTAATCCTATAATGTTATTATATGCCTACAACACGAAATTCATTATTTAGAATCATTTCAGTTTTAATATTTTACATATACATTTCAAATGAGTATTTTACATTTAAAAATGCATCAACAAATATTGAATGATAAGAAGATTGATAAGCACACTCAGTTGACATGAAGAAATTATAATTGATTTTTCTTTTCATCTCTTTTTATTTTTTCAATATATTTATTATAATTATTATTGGTACTATATTTTTTTTGTAGGGTCAATCTACATTTTCTCCACAAACCCTAGCTACGTGTCAAGCACGGACTGGATACGGAGGAAATTATTACTGTGCGTAATTGGTATAGTATTGAAAAAAATCCTAAGATGTTTCATCCAAACATGATTCTAAAAACGTTCACTATAATTTATATAAATTAGAGTAGGATGAATTTTTTTTTAATTTTATAATGCTACAAAAACTTGCCTCCAGGGTAAAAAAACAAAGTGCTAATAGAAAATATTTTTTTTAATCTCCAGGTATCCCCATTCTTCTAAAAAATAAAAAACATACTTTTTTATAATCTTCTTATAACTTTTAAAATACTGGATCGTATGTTTATAAACATAATTCGTATGTATAAACTGGTAGAAAAAAAATTAAAAAACATGAATAAATCGTAAAATTAACTCATTCTATAATATTTACTAGAAGGGCAATAAAAATAAGACATTATTTTCTATAAAATGCAAATTTACAACTGATTTAAATATTTAAGCTGATGATTTACTCGAAAAACTTGGCATAAATGACCTTTAAAGCTATGAGAAGCTATATAGAATGAGCTCAATTCTAACAAACCATCTAAGGCTTTCGACCCAGGATATTTTAAACCGCCTCAGTCACTAGCTTCATGGAGCGTTCAATTACTTGCGTCTGTCAAAAAATTCATGAATAATTCATTCTTCTGAAGTTTAAAAAGGCTTTATCTTGAAAAAAAATCTCTTCACTCCTTACTCTTCACAACAAAGGTGATTATGTAAGAGTACTGTAACTCCAATCCTTCCAACGAACACAAGATTTAATGATTATAGAATTATTAAACTTTTTGGATTTCTTCAATATAAGGATTCACCATTATATTACACAGAGAAGTAATTTTTGAGAGTAGTATCGATTTTTCAATTGTCTTATCAGGTATTGATTTATTTTAAATATTCTCATTTAATCGCTATGTTATAGGAAGCGTAGCTCAAAAAAATAATACCGATTTTAAGATTGGACTCTCATACATCAATTTATTTTAACTTTATGACTATTTTCAATATTGTGGTACAATATAGAATTATCGCAGGTGCTTTTTACTTCACAAAATGAGGATCACATGCTAATAAATCAATTACTTTTATCGTACTTTATTAATTTTTCGTTTTCTCAGATGCGAAGTTACATTATTGTTATTTATGTGGCATAATATTTCGGTTAGGAAGTTTTGCTCTACCATTTGATTACTACGTATATTTCAAATAATGAGAATTCTGTGGATATATCTACCTAATTTAGAATTTACCAAAAGAATTCGGATGGTTACAAATCAAATTTAGAACTTTCAAAACCAAATAGAAATTTTCGTTAAGTGATAAAACGTTTTATGTATAAAATGTTAAATGTTTTTCTTTCCAAGCGAGCCTAGTTCGAATCTCGCCTTAGTATACAAAATATTCTGAGACAGAACATTGTTGGTCAAATGAATACTTTTTAATGCTTTGATGGACTTTTCATATTTATTTCTCTAGTATATGTGTCTTGTCTGTGCCCAATCTATTACGCAATTCAAATAATATTTATAAAATTACAAACAAATGTAAATTTATTCTTTATGTTTCAGATATAACTGATGACATTACCAGAGAAGGAAGGGTAAGATCATTTTTCTATGATTAATTACAGTACATTTTTATTCATTTGATATTTTTTTATCGTATAAACTAACAATGAATATATTACAAGAAAAATAAGGGATATAAATTTGTTTCAGTGCTTCCTGGCTTGTCTGTTGGAAACGGAAGGACTGGTAGGTAACTACTAATAGTATTTTTCTGTATCATCAGTTAGATAGAAAACTGACTTGTTGAAAAGAATGGATTTGAATTTGTAGAAATTTAAAAGAAAGTGCGATATGGGATTTATTAGTTACCTATGTGAAATAGAATCGGATAACAATTCAATTTGAATTATTCCTTAGTATTTGTAATATAGAGAAATTGTATGTTTATAATATATTTAATTCTAAACAGATGAGGAATGGTGTTATTGACAGAGACGCTACTGTAAACTTTATTAATCAATGGGCATACGGCAATGAAGAAATGAAGCAGAGATACATCAGGATTGTGGATGAATGTATTAACCAAGGTAAACTATTTTTTCACAATTTAGTCGATAATTTGAATATCGGATAGTCGAAAAATATCGGAAAATGAATAGACGAAGAATTGGTTAGTGGAACCAACGATAAAATCGTGAGGCGAAAATTCTTTTTTTTTTTTAAATTGGATATTTTAAAATCAGTATAGTAATTAATATTTATATGATCCGTATGCTTATTTCAACTTATTATTACTTTATATTATTTGTTTTTCTTTTATAGTTGGAACGAATTCTGATAGCTGTGAATTTGCATTTCAGTACATGAAATGCAAAGTTTCTAGGGTAAGATTTTTTTTTATTCTTAATTACGTAGTAGTTAATTAAGTAGTTTGTTATTAACTGAGGGTTTTAAATATATGCATTTCCAATATATTATATATTTGGAGCTACAAAAAAAACTGACTTAAAACCATTGAGGAAAAAGCTCTGTTTATTAATCCTTGATTTAAACAAATGATGTGGTTATTGGAAGGATTAGATGAATATTTCCAGATGAATACTACTCTAAAAAACTAGAATTTTTCTTCAGGATAATTCTAAATCAAAGTTGTTTTTATTTCTGAAACTTTGTGATACTTGAACAGTATTGACTACATGCTTTATGCTACGCTTTTTTTGGAGGGTCAATATAATAAAAAATCTTTCACTAATATACATATAAATACTCGTTTCCACATGAAGTGGATCATTGTACAAACTGTTTACAAATTGGATGGAATCAATATTTTTTTCAATTTGACAGCTGTTATTTATTCGCATTCGCAATGGGCTAATTTTTTTATAATAAACTCCATCAAACACAAACTAAAGAGGAGATTATTCTCAGTTTAGTTCGTTTACACCTTGTGTTCACTTCACTTTATTCACATAAATCTTTTCTTTTTTTTTTTTTTACTAACCGTTTTTCATATTTTTTATTAGCCTACATAATTTCATATTATGCTTTGGAAGAAGTTGATATCTTGAGAAATGTGGCAGCAAGCATACGAACCTGACAAAGTGTGGTAATGCATTGTGGAAGACGTCAAAGATCTATAACAGATCTTATACATTATGAAGACCGATATGTCCGGGTTCCAAGGAATCACTTCAGCACTTACCGAAGGCTTACTGATGGTTAGTTTTCTGCTCCTAATGTGCAAATTAGTCTTAGTTAGCAGTTTCCGGAACACTCTACACTATAAAGTTCAAAGACTTCAATTCGTTCAGATTCACATATCAGAGACTGATAATGCTTGAAATAGTTGCCTTTTCACAGATGATTCTAAATTTGTACTGCACCACGAATCAGATCAACCATGAGTTGCCAGGAGGAGGCTAAATTACAGTGTAGGGTAGTATGTCCTCGGACTCCAGAATAGAGCTTGCGCTATTACGAAATGAGACTATGAGCTCAGTGTTATTTGGACAAGGTCATTGGCTTATATACTTGCCAAGAAGCAATGGGTCCAGAATTCGTTTTTGTGGATGACAAGCCTATACCTTATAAGGATTGGCCTCCTTGCTCCTCAGACCTAAATTCCATTGAATACTTATGGGATAAACTTCAAAGACCGACGGGGCGAGATACCCTTTGACTATCTCTGGAAGAACAGCATCCAACACTCTTATACACGGATCGTTGTTTTTGTTGCAACTATTTATTTTAAAAATTTAATGTTCCCACGAAAAAAAGTGAACGCACTGACCCAAAATGGCGGACTGACGATCTTTGATTCATTAAGTTAATGAAATTAATCCATTATATGGCTGTACGAATAATAGACAAATGAACAGAATATTTCAAGGACCTGCTAAAAAGGGGTCAAATTCTGGGGCAGTATGGATGATAATAAGGGGAAAAGCACGTTGTATGTTTTCCTTTCCGATTACTTCAAAGATCTTTTCCAAATTCACTAAACAGTTGGACAGCTATTTCCCTTTCTCGACAGATCTCTCTGTAAGTGATCAAACAATGTGCAACAATCAACAATATTAATTTCTGACCGCGTCCTGTAATTTCAATATTTTAAATTTCTATTAGTTTTTATTTTAATTAATACTTCATGTTCACATAAAATATTTGTACCCCGACATAGACTAGACAGTTTCTAACTCTTTTTTAAATTGTTACCTCTGTGAATTGAATGTTAATGTGAATTGTTTATGAATGAAATAACATAAAAATAATTTTTAAAATTTGTGTTGATAGTAGCCTTATTGAACTTATTTTTCCTATATCTTTAGTCAACTTATTTTTTATTTACCCTATAAAGAAATAAAAATATTTACAATAGGTTTTATAGCTGAACCTTTACTGAAGAATTCGCAAGAAAACAAACGGATTGATAGACCACATATTTATTATTGTTTATAAATTAGCTTTTAAAGTAACATCAACTGTATTTATAATTTTTTTACTAATGTATTTTTTTTTTTATTATTTCAGTCATGGGGGAAGTGAAGAATACCAAGTAAATAAAACATCAGATATCTAACATTTTTGAAATATAACAACATTAATTTCAGCTAATTTATTTAATATGTTTCCCAGAATTCTCCAAGATCTAATTGTTGACGGCAACAAAATGTATAACCCATTTTTACCTGTTTTAACACTGTCGGAGTAAGAGGAAGAGATATTGGAAGAAAATCAATAATACTGAAATATTTAATGATTGGACAAAAATTCGAAGCGGTTGCTATAATGAGAGGAGTGGGAATGGTTTAGCAGGGCGCTGCAGTAGTTATAGATATAAATAAGTTTCTAATTTCAGCGCTGAGCACATCGATGGTATCAGATCCATCTCTATACTGTACGAAACGATGAAATCGATGAGCTCAGAGCTGTGTTCAGGAACTTTCCCTACCAACGAGCATAGAACTGATTATAGAGAACATGAGCTAGGATAACACGTGCATCTTCATCTCTTTATGTCTCCTTCACAG